CCAGAGACATGTGCACATTGATGTGCGTCGCATCGCGCTAAAACGGTCACGTCTGAACGTTTTAGCGCTATGGACCAGAAAGAACAAAAATTCACACATAAATTTAAATTACTGAAAAATAAAAGATTCAATCTCAAATATTAATGGTGTCTGTCAATGTTGAAGAATAAATCCCCGGCAACGGCGCCAAAAACTTGTTGCGAATCTAGCAAGTGTACTAGTCGTACAAGTAATAAAATGATGAGTAAAGATCGTTCCCACGAGGATTTGTGTCAAGCACTGACTAACCATATGTACTTGAGTTGAATCAAACAAAAGTTCATAGATTGCATAGATTTCTTGTCACCAGAAACTACACTGAATTGAATTAAAACTTGATAAATAAATAAAATGTAAATTATAATGTAAACAAGTAGTCAGATGTCATTTTCCCTCAAACATGAATTTATAGATGAACCAATTTCCATTATGAATTATCTACTATGTGATGTTGATCAACCTTTTTCTTATCATCTCAAGATGTAATCCCTTACTACCCTGATAGACACATTAATCAGAAACCTCAATCCCTTGGTGATTCCTTTCTTAATACATGCATTAATTACTAAGGTCTTAAGATCACATCAGAATCCTAGCATCAATCCCTTGACTACTAGAACACTGATGATGAAGTTGTCAAAAATAGAAAAACAATGTAAACATATTTGTTCTACACTATTCCTCAACATGAAGAATTAATCAAGACAACTTCATACAATCACATAATAGATAAACAAAACATCTAATTAACCATTCATAAATTCAAACTTGAGTTCCATTGAATCAGACTACAAAGGACTCTCCTAAGACATAATTGAAATACAAACAAGAGAAGAAAGATCAAACTCCATTGACATGATAGTTGAGTCTTCAATCTCCAAGTGCAATTACATAGGAAATACTAACTATTACAAGAACTAATCCTAGGAATTTGGAAATTCAGAGAAAATGAGGAGTCAGATCAGATCTATGAAAGACCTGATCTGATCTCCCTTCTCCTAGTGTGATGAGAAAAGTCAGAATAAGATATGATGGATTGGATCTGATATCTGGAATATGTCAGAATGTGAAGGCCCCTTGTCCTTTTATAATTTACAAATTACAACTGAAAACTGACATGGGCGCTAAAACTCTCATTTCTGGACGTTTTAGCGCTCAACCTTGACGGATGCCCAACTGCTTTTAACTGTCTTGGGCGCTAAAACGCTCAGTTTTGGGCGTTTTAATGTTCAGCACCAGCATCTTTTGTGCAACAGGGCGCTAAAACGCTCAGTTTTGGGCGTTTTAGCACCCAACACTTAGAATTTTTCCATTCTTCAGAATCTTCTTCATTCTCTCTTTTGCTTCTTGAGCTTCATTTCCCTACAAAAACAATGTAAATTTTCAACATAAGCTTCAGAACTTGTATTTGAGAGATTTCCAGGACATTAACCTCTTTTTCATCCATTTAATCACACAAATTGATATTAATTCATGCTTAAAAACCTGATGAACTAAGGGTTCATCAGAGAGGAAAAGATAACTACTTTGGGGTGCAAACCCTAACTTCCTTATTTTCCAACCAAATCAACTTATTCCAAAGCCAAAATCACTTAGAATATTTCCCTCATTGTGAATCCAAGCTTGCTTTTGAGTGGGAGACTTTGTGGAGAGAGATCTTCCCTCTCAAATATTTTGACGACTTTGAAAATTGAAGGAATTTGGGGGCATTTTCATCCATGGGAGCTTAGGAGACCTCTATTCCTTGGTTGTGTGACCTATTGTGGTAAGTTTCCACTTCTCCAACCTAGTTTTCATGGAGTTTTCTAGAGGTTGAAGACAATGAATATTGTTTTTTTTGTGTTTTATGAGTTTAAGTAAGAATGAGGCTAAATTCCTTTGGAAATATTATTAGTAATGATAAATAAACGGTAGAAATAAGTTTAGATTGTCATTTTAGTATACTTGATATTTGGAGAAATCTATGCTTGAAATTGAGGATTTTCTTGCATTGTTAGCCTTGGTTGGTTGTATATTTAATGGTGTCCCTTGTACGGCTAGGATTGAGGCAAGTGGACTAAGTAGAGTGACCAATCCTTGTAAGCGTTCAATTAAGGAAATGAAAGCTTTGAGGAAAGTTCAAGTGTAAGGTAAACCTTCGGATCTTGGAGTTGATCCCCTTGAATGTTCCACCGTACTCCATTGAGGAGGAATGATTTATGAGGTGTGATATGTAATGATGATAGTAGTTGTATGCTCATGCATTGATTCATTCATTGATAAATGTTATTATTACTTAATGATCATTGATTGATGTTTGATTGTTTAAGAGTAATTAAAGAATGGTTGATAGATGTAAAAATAATGAATGAAGTAATGGTTGAGGATTCAGATTGAGGTTATGTTGATAGTTGAGAGATGAGGTAGTGATTGATAAATGAGAAAGGATTGAATAGTCCTTGGATCAGTCTAATGAATGTAACTAGTATGATGGATGTGTCGTCTTCCTTGGAGCCAGCCCTAAGGGGAACTCCTTATGGTTACTACCTGCGAGGAACATCCCTTGAGGATCCCTCTTGAAGCCATCATGTCAGTAAGGACTTCCCCTGGAAACAGCCCTATGCGGATCTCCTTATGGTGAGAGCCTAAGAGAGACAGCCCTGCTGTGGACCTCTCTTGGAAATGCCTAGTATTATGATGAGGATGATTAGTAGGGACTTCCCTTGAAAACAGCCCTATGTGGATCTCCATGTGGTAAGAGCCTACGAGAAACAGCCCTTAAGGATCTCTCTTGGAAGCCCCTAGTGTGAGATTGTGGAATTCCCTTGGAAACAGCCCTATGCGAATCTCCTTGTGGTGAGCACCTAAGAGAAACAACCCTTTGAAGATCTCTCTTGGAAGTTCATGTGATGTTTATGGATAAGAATGTGTTGAGCTGTTATGATTATGCGTACACCGAAAGTGAACCTTAGGGTGGAGTGATCTCCAAGGACCCCAGGTTTACTGTAATATATTCGTATATCTCACCCCGTGTTGTGGGGTATCATTTCGGGTACTAATAGAGGTGAGGCTGAACGAGGCAAGAAGCATGAGTAGATTGTATCTGATAGTTGGACATTTTGAGTTGCATGCCATTTAGAATTGTTATATGTGTAGGCCAATTGCACCATTATGTGTATATGTATTTATTTTGAGGCCATATGATGTATTTTGGAGGACTTAGTGCATGATTATTGTAATGATAATTGCCATGTTGTTTATATGTATTGGCTTTGATCATGTCTCTTTGATAGCTAAGTCCTTTGGCATGTAATTATTTTGAAGAGCATAGTTGTAATTGAGATATTGATACATTGATGAATGTGAAGTTATGTTTTATCAATTTGAAATGTATGATGGATTAATTAAATGTATGTGAAATGTGCGAGCCTCATGGTGTGTGACCATGGTTGGCAATCCCTCATCAATTAGGTACCAATAAGTTGGAGAAAGGAGGGAGGAACTCCTTCAAGTGAACCACCAAAAACAGGGGAGATCAAGTCTACCCCAGGTGGAGCGTGCTCAAGCACTGATAAGAGCGCTCAAGTGTGCTGTGTGCATGAAATAGAGGAAAAATCTCTGCCTTTGGGCGCTCAAGCGCGCTGAAAACATGGAGATGGCCAAAAATTTTGCCTCTGGGCGCTCAAGCACACTTCCCGAAAATAGCACGAATATAATTTAGTAAAATTGGCATAACTTGAGTTATAGAGCTCCGAATTGAGTGCGGTTTGAACTCACGCGAAGCTAACGAAGAGATCTATGACATAGTAGGAGATAAGAACCATAAAGAAAGTAGATAATTCCCAATTTAATAAAAAGTGAAGATAGCTTAGTATTGAACTTGAACAAAATAAGAATATGATGTTAAGCTTAGTTTCATTTATTCCGCAATGTCATACGGTTATGGTTACGCAATTGGTTATTTTAACCGCAATTGGTTATTTTAACCGCAATTGGTTATTTTAAATTCGGTGTTGTTCAAAAGGAAAATAGTAAGTTTTTTTAAAAAAATGTATCCAAGTTTTAATTGAACCAATGTGATTGTAACTGCGCTTAGTATCATAAAGTAATGATAACAAATCGGTTCTAAAACGGGGTATTACACATTGCAAGTAGTGAAGGCTGTCAATCATGTGGTCGTTTTGTGCTATAATTAGAGTGGAATGAATCACATGAAGGACCCAAACAAATCACTAGTCTAAAACAAATATTATTTCTAAAGTGAGCAAGTGATGTTGTATTCGTTTTTAAATTTTAACAGATTAAGATTGTAATGTATTTTAAATCAAATCAATGACAAATAGCCTGGTATTTATTCATTTTAAATACATTCAATGTATTGAAAAATTAAATATAGTAATTGTGATAGTAACAAATGCTTTCCTTATTTGTAACACTAACACATCATAAAACCCTCTTTGTTTCCTTTTTATTTATTTTTAAACCAATTATAGAACTTCACGACATTGTCACCACAATGGAATTTCAGCTACAATTATATCACACAAATTTAGTTTGATGGGTTGATAATTCCTATATTTGAGTTATTTAGGCATGATTTCAAATATGCAGTTGTGTGCTTGTTTATTCCCTTAATAAAAATCAATAATTTGTTATAGATTATGCAATTTAATGCTATAATTAGCGCTAATTATTGGTTGTTGTGTCTATTTTTATGCGGGATCAACTTAGGTTGAATTTTGGAAGAAATTTGAAAGGAGCAATGGACTCTGGCAAAACCAAAAGAACCCAAAAGTACGAGACAGCATCTCACGACTTTTAAAATTTGTATGTCGTGCCTGAGGCACAACAAGTGCATGATTGTCTCGGTTTATACAAGGTACAGTTATAGCTATGAGAATAATTTTCTAATAGAGAAAGACAAGCCTCTGAAAAACCAAATATACACAAAAGAAGAGCATTTATATAAATGATATTGATAACGATTATGAAAGGAAATGACAAAGCCATAGCCAACATCTATTACACTTTAAATGGAAAAATAGCCACAAATTCATTCCTGACATAAAGCCAATGCAACTACGTAAAACATCATGCAATATTGTACAGCTTTGCTACAATATTCTTACAACCAATACAACTAATTCATGCAAGAAATTCCACGATTTTATTATGTAAACTTTCATTTAACCAAACAAATTCTACATGCCAGTAAGAAGGTAATTCCCTTGCACCTACTTTTGATCATTGGCATCAAGAACAGGCAAAGTTTGGCACAGAATATCAGCTGCATGCTCAAGCTCCTGTTCTGTTATAATTAATGGGGGAACAAGTCTGACAACATTACCTTTTCCAGCAGTTAATACTAGCAGGCCAGAATTTCTGCAAGCATCTACTAGGGGTGAGGCTGGCACGTCTAAATCAATTCCTATAATCAGCCCAAAACCGCGAATCTCTTTCACATGGCAGTTTCCTCCCAACTTCTGTTTTAGTAGTTCTTTGAAGTATAGACCTTTCTTAGATACAGCAGAGAGGAAATCAGGGTTAGATATTTTATCCAAAGTAGCAAGAGCCGCGCTACAAACAAGAGGACCTCCTGCAAAAGTACTTCCATGGTCACCATAGTTTATAGCAGAAGCAACTCTATCAGTCACAAGGACAGCTCCAATAGGTAGACCTCCAGCAAGAGGCTTGGCAAGTGTCATCATATCTGGGAAGACTCCATAAGCCTCATGAGCCCAAAGAAACCCTGTTCGACCTAAACCACATTGAACCTACAAAAATCACAGAGAAGTATGCATGTTCAAAGAAAAAATAACCAAATGGAACAATTACATACACAAAAAGTGATAAACATACTTCGAAGTTATGTCAGCTACACATCATCATTCAAGAAAATTAAAAATTTATGTGGATTTACGATTGGGTTGCAGTGCTGTTTTCTCTCTAGCTCTCATTCTCATTCACTTACAAATAATTAAAAAAAGAGACAATAAATAAAAGAAAATAAACAAACAACCAACCAACCATTTCATGTATGATGTCCTCAATAGTGAGATATCAGACAATTTTTTCAAAGCATCATCATTCAACAGAAAAAAGATTTAAAAGAAAAAAAAAAATTAAAAAACATTCTTGTGCTATGCCTTTGTTATATATGCAATTTTTTATTCTTTTTGTAAAACTCAGCAACCCAAGATATGCGATGCATTCATTTACTACTATACGAGAACAGTTGCATATCATGATTAGATCATGTATACCTCATCAAACACAAGAAGCGCCCCAGCCTCATCACAAGCACTTCGCAGAGACTGTAGAAAATCTTTTGTAGCACTGTATATTCCCCCTTCTCCTTGGATGGGTTCCACAAAAACTGCAGCAATCTTGCCCTGCTGAATTAATTCAACTGCAGCCTGCGCATTTCCATACTCTAAAAAGGTCACTCCTGGCATAACAGGTTCAAAAGGTGCTCTGTACTGCATTTTACTTGTCAAAGCAAGTGAGCCCAGGGTTCTCCCATGGAAGCAATTGCTAAAAGCTATGAACTCAGTAGCTGGTACTTTACCATTAGTACATGTGTGTTTCTGATACTTTCTTGAAAATTTAATAGCGGCTTCATTTGCTTCAGTTCCAGAATTTGCGAAAAATACACGATCTGCAAAAGAACAAGATACTAAACGCTTCGCAAGTTCTACCTGCATCAGTGCCAAATTAATTACAGATCCAGATAAAAGGTGTAATGCAAAATTATTGTAAGATGTAAGACAAAAGGTTTTCTGATTTGATACAATTTGATTTGCACTGAAAAGGTATATTTATAAAAGAGTAAATGAGAAAAAACGGAAACAAATTCAAATCCCTATTAAAGGAAAAAATAAATCTCTAATTAATAGGCTATAAATCAGGGATATGATTGCATCCCAAGTAAAAACAGAAAGATTCTAATCCTGATTTTCTACACTCCCCTTCAAGTTGGGAGATAAATGTTGATCATTCCCAACTTGCCAATCAGGTCTTCAAAAGCTGGCTGGTGTAGGCCCATAGTGAGGATATCTGCAATCTGCTCTTTGGTAGGAATATACACCATACATACACTTCCATCATCTATTTTTTCTTTGATAAAGTGGCGATCAACCTCCATATGTTTTGTTCTGTCATGGTGAACTGGATTTTGAGCAATACTGACAGCAGCCTTATTATCACAATACACTCTGACAGGTAGGGAAAAAGAGATTTTCAATTCCTCAAGGAGTCTTCTTAACCAAATTCCTTCACAAATACCATGGGCTAGAGCCCGAAATTCTGCTTCTGCACTGCTCCGGGCAACAACTGTTTGTTTCTTACTTCTCCAGGTCACAAGATTTTCCCAGATACAGGTGCAATATCCTGAGGTGGATCTTCGGTCCAATGCAGAGCCAGCCCAATCTGCATCTGTATATATTTCAATCATCCTCTTGTGTCCCCCTTTAAAGAACAATCCTCGACCAGGGGTGTTTTTGAGGTACTTCAGAATTCTATAAACTGCACTCAGGTATTTTTCCTTAGGAGAATGCATGAATTGACTAACCATGCTAACTGCAAATGCAATATTAAGCCGAGTGTGAGATAAGTAGATCAACCTCCCCACCAATCTCTGATACTGCTCTTTGTCAACTTCTTTCTCATCTTCAATTCCCAATTTAATATTGGGTTCAACTGGAGTCTCTGCTGGCTTGCACCCAAGCATTCCTGTTTCTTGTAACAGGTCTAGAATATATTTCTTCTGAGTTAAAGAAATTCCTGCCTTACTTCGAGCAACTTCCATGCCCAGGAAATATTTGAGAGATCCAAGATCCTTCAGTTCAAACTGATTAGCTAAACATTTCTTCAAAGAGCTCATCTCCTCACAATCATTACCTGTGACAATTATGTCATCAACATAAATAATGAGAATAGCAATTTTACCACCATTAGAGTGTTTTAAAAATATGTGTGATCAGTCTGAGCTTGGAGGAATCCTTTTCCCTTAACAGCTTGAGTAAACTTCTCAAACCACTCTCTAGGGGATTGTTTAAGACCATAGAGAGACTTCTTCAACTTGCATACTGAATCGTCTCCTTTTTCAAAACCAGGTGGTGGATCCATATAAACTTCTTCGTGTAGATCATCGTTCAAGAAGGCATTCTTTACATCTAATTGTTGCACGGGCCAACCAAGATTTGCAGCAAGTGATAAAAGAACTCGGATAGTGTTAAGCTTGGCAACAGGGGCAAATGTCTCTTGATAGTCTATCCCATGAGTTTGAGTGAATCTCTTAGCAACCAGTCTGACCTTATACTTGTTGATGTTGTTATCTGCATTAAACTTTATTGTGAACACCCACTTGCAACCTACTGTTTTCTTTCCTCTGGGTAATGCTACAGACTCCCAAGTTCCATTTTTGTTGAGCGCATCCATTTTTTCAAAGACTGCATTCCTCCATTTTGGATCATCAAGTGCTTCTTGGATATTTTTTAGTATTTTTGTACTGTCTAACATAGTGTTGAAAGCACGAAAACCTGGGGACAACTTTTCATATGTGATATGATGAGAAATAGGATGAGCAGTACAAAATCTAGTACCTTTTCGGAGAGCAATAGGCACATCTAGGTCGGCTGTATCAGTGTTGCTGGAACTAAGACTCGAGTCAGAATCCTGGCAGTCTAAAGGCTCCTGAGGTGATTCTCGCCTGCTGTAAAACTTTCCCCATTTACCGAGATGATCTCCATTATCTGACACATTAACTCCCCCTGTCTTTTGCATAATGACTCCCCCTGTCTCCAACGACAAAACAACAGAATCATTTGGTTTCCAAGACTTATCTTCATCAACCCCAATAGACTCCCCCTGAAGAGAAGTCGAAGGAAAAAAAGATTGTCTCTCATCAAATGTGACATCCATAGAAACAAAGACCTTACGAAGTGAAAATGAGTAACACTTGTAGCCCTTTTGGTTAGGAGGATATCCTATGAAGACACATTTAATGGACTTAAGATCGAGCTTGGACCTTTGATGGGGAGGAACATGTACAAAAGCCACACAGCCAAACAACTTGGGAGGAAAAGAAGAGTGAGCCCGAAAAGAAGGAAAGGTGTGGGTAAGACAAGATAAAGGAGATTGAAAATTTAGGACACGAGAAGGCATCCGATTGATGAGGTATACTGCAGTCAAGACAACTTCCCCCCAAAGATATTTAAGGACATGCATGGTAAACATAAGAGCTCGAGCAACTTCAAGGAGATGTCTATTTTTTCTTTCAGCCACCCCATTTTGTTGAGGAGTGTTAGGAGAAGAACTTTGATGAAGAATGCCATGCTGGATGAGATAGTTTCCAAGAACAGAATTAAAATATTCAGTACCATAGTCAGTTCGAAGAATTTGGATAGAGGTCTGGAACTGAGTTTGAACAATAGCATGAAAGTTTTAAAAGTGGATGCAGCGTCAGACTTATCCTTTAGAAGGTATACCCAACATACCCTAGAGTGATCATCTATGAAAGTTATAAACCAACGAGCACCAGAGATATTTTTTTCACGGGCTAGACCCTATATATCACTATGAATCAAGGTAAATGGAGAAGAATTATGATGGACTCTAGGAGGATAAGAAACACGAGAATGTTTTGCAAGCTGACAAATATTACAAGAAAAAGAAATGGGATTTTTATTGATAAATAAGTTTGGGAACAACTTCTGAAGATAAATGAAATTTGGGTGTCCTAACCGACGATGCCACAACAAAACATCATTACAATCATCAGACAAACATATCGAGTGGTTCACAAAAAAAATTTCTTCACAAGAATCTTTTTCTAAATAATAGAGTCCTTCTTCCTCTCTAGCACTGCCAATCATCAACCCCGAGTCCTGATCCTGGAAAACACAAGCATTGACAAAAAACTAGGCAACACAATGTAACTCAGAGGTAAGTTTGCTGATAGAGATAAGGTTACAAGTAAGAGAGGGAACATGAAGGACTGAGTTCAAAGTAATGTGTTCAGAAAGTTTGATGGATCCTTTTCCAGCAATAATAGAGAAGCTGCCATCTGTTGTTGTTATTCGTGACTGTTGATAGTAAGGGGTATAAGAACAAAATAAGGTTGCATTACCTGTCATATGATCTAAAGCCCTGAATCAAGAATCCAACGACTACTATTATCAACATGGAACGCTATACCTTGTTGAGCAACATTGTTGGATGGAAATTTACTTTCAATCAAATTTGAAGTTAACGTATCCAATTCGAACACAGAGGAAGCTAAGGCATGGGACATGATACTCTCTGAGTCATCCAAGGCAGCAAACTTGGAGTTTGATACAGAAATAGTAGCAGAAGTGGAAATGTTTCGCGCCCAATAGTAGCAACAGTCACTCTCTAAGTTGTTTTTTTCTTGGATAGCCATAGTCCGAAATAACAAAGGTCTCCAATCACTGATTTGAGCCTTCAACAGATGGGAAAGAGGGAGACAAGCCGAAAGAGACCTCTCCGAACCGGAACAGAGCACTGCAGGGAGGCACGTGGCTTGCACGCACTGTATGGTGGCTGCGCATGATAACGCGTAGGGCGGACGCTCCGTCCTTTCTCTAGCGCGTGGGGCGCGTGGCTCAGCAGAATCCGATGGTCCTTCTTGGAACTTGTAGATCTGCTCCTTCTGTTTCGAATGGTGCGAGTCTTGGCCGGAAATGTCGCAGGAAAAATTTGCCTTCTACAGTGATTGGTAGCCTTACTTTGCTCCTGGGACTTTGTAGGAAGGGAAAACAACCTTAATAATGGTTGGAGGTTGAGTTTTCCGGCGTTGTGTCGCCGGTTTGACGGTGGTTGTGGTGGCTGAGTTTTCTCAGGACTAACCTGCTCTTGATAGCATATTGTAAGATGTAAGACAAAAGGTTTTCTGATTTGATACAATTTGATTTACACTGAAACGGTATATTTATACAAGAGTAAATGAGAAAAAACGGAAACAAATTCAAATCCCTATTAAAGGAAAAAATAAATCTCTAATTAATAGGCTATAAATCAGGGATATGATTGCATCCCAAATAAAAACGGAAAGATTCTAATCCTAATTTTCTACAAAAATGTGAAAACACTGATAACAGCTCCAAAATATGAACTCATGTAGAGATTAATGCAACAGCTATAGACAATATTCAATTGAAAATAACTCCAATAGACATTTGCATAATAACAATACAGCTATATAGAACCACATAAATTCTTAATAGGCCTTTTCCCCTCTTCTAATTTTCCTTCCGATAAATGAAGATACAAAGATAGAGTGAAGAAGTAGGGATAGGGAACATGAAGCCTTAAACTGTCACAACAACCACAAAATGTCCAAGTAAAAATTCTAAACAAGAAATAAGCTCAAAACAACTCTCCATTAACCTCCAAAACAGAAGATAACTTCAGAACTTAAATAAGAACCTATTTAAGTCTTTTATTTCCTTCATGCCCTCCATAATTTACTGTGGCAGCTAACTTTTAAGTTCCATTTTTTAACCTTTGTACAATAGGGAAATAGGTCTATGCAAAATATCGCCCTAACATCCTTTAGCAACAGATTAACAAACTTTTACCCCAATGAATCAAGAAGTGTTTGTGGACCTTGTAATTTACTTGCATTGCCTAATGACATAGTGGATAAAAGTTCTTCCTCTGGGGTCCTCTCACTTGGACAAAAAGGTGTCAGCTTTTCAGCATCCGGATGAGGGAGAATTCCTTCTTCAATTCAAACATTAACAGAAGGATCTCCTGATAGATTATTCTTGTCCTTTTTGGAATTGTGGAAGCCTAAACTAAAAATTCTTTAATCTCAGCGCCTTGTTGCTGAAAAATCAACTTCAATCCCTTAAGTTACCATCGATGTCAAAATACCCTGCTCAAATATTCTGTTGACATATTCAGCTCATAACTGAATTGGATGCAGCCGTTCATCATCTTCAAGAAAGGAATCAAGATTATCTCCATCACATAATAACTTGCCCATCTCTTCATTAGAGTTTAAATCTTGCTTCATCATTTAACTGCACTCTTTCTAACACAACTTTGACCGTAAAGAAAACTCTAGACACCTCCACAACCATATTAAATGCTTCAATGTCAATTTTTTTCCCATAGAATTTTGAACCTTTTCACCCTTTTTTGGTAATTGTAATGATTTTCATTTTTCAGAATTATATATGTGACTGGATAATGTTGGAACTGCCAACTTTAGGCCTGATGCCATATGAAGATGCACATCTCCATCTCTAGGTGTACCTGGCAACTGAATCTGTGATGCTTCACCTAATATGGTCGATTCCTTCTGACTGAGTTCTAGAGTCATATAGGGCCTCACATGCTTTTTTAACAACACAGCAAAAAATTAGGACAATCTATGCCTCAGATTACGCTGATCCGCCTGACCATCACACTTAAATTTGGAACAGGTTGGCAATCTACATAATTGGGAAAATCGGGCTCTCAGTTTCTTTCGTTTTCTCTCTCTCTCTCCCCCCCCCCCCCCCCCCCCCCTTCTCCTAACTCTTTTACTACTAGAGTTCTACAAAACTAGAACAAAACCTTGTAAGCACTTCATGCTCTTTTAGAAGTACTAAAGCTTGACAGTGATAACTGATAATTGATAACTAAGTTTCTCTATTAAGAAAATGGTTCACTATGAAATCTTCAATGCTGAAATTTTTCTTTACCAGAGTCAGAAACTATTGTAAATCAACATTTAGAACCAAGTTCTATCACTCAAATCTAAACTTTTCTTGCCACTCAAATAATAAAAAATATTACATTTACTACCTTTCTAACAAAATAAGCACATGTATTTTTCCATCCATTCCTTCAAATAATCTAAACACCCTTCCCACCACCCCACAGATTCATTCCTGAGCATGACAAATGACAACAAAATAAAATAAAACCTTTTGAAAAACAAAATCTGCACCTACACATGCCCTGTACAATTCAAGAATGCCAAGATAATGCAAGAAGCATGGAACTTCAAATTTTTACAATAAATAACCATTAAACCCAACATCAAAACATGTTTCTAACAAGACCCAGTACCTCAACTCAAACAAATAAAAAAGCAACAGAACTTTAAATCAAAAACCATCCATGATTCCCAAGCAACATAACACAACTTATAATAATGATTAAAAAAAAAACAGAAGAAGAATCATGGGCATGCCCAAACCTGAGGTTTAGAGTGATAAATATTGCTGACATGAGTAAGGATACCAGCTTGGTCAACAACAGCTCTCAGCCAATCAGCATCACCATGTCCAAGTGCATTCACAGCAATTCCAGCACTCAAATCCAAATACTCCTTCCCTTCAACATCATAAACCTTGCAACCTTTTCCTCTCTCAAGAACCACTGGTGCCCTTGCGTAGGTACCCACCAAGAACTTCCCTTCATCCTCAATCACCTCCTTCGTCCTCTTCCCACCACCCAACGCCACCGCAGCGTCGGTTGCTTCCACACCCACATTGAGACATGCACTGAACACCCCCCTTCCACAGTGAACCTTTTGAGGAACTTGTCGCTGTTGTGTCCCTACTTTGAACAATTGACCGAGTTTGTGGCTGCTGTACGAGGATTCACAAGTTGAGTGGCTAAGGCAAATGTGAAATGCACTCATTGCTTTCTCTCAGACAAAATTATTGTATTGGGTTTGGAAATTAGGGTTTAAATACACATTGTGATGGTTCTAGACACGTGCGAAATATAACCTCAAGGAATTCGTGCTCAGTAAACGACACTACACAGTCCACACTGTGCACCGTTTGACAGAAAGATACCACAGTTTCATGCGTTTTTTTTAAAAAAAAAACATAAGTAATGCTATCAATCTTATGTGTTAACGGTAAACAGTATGACATTTATTGACGGGGTGTGGAAGTATTGTATAAAAGTCATACCGAGACTTTTTAAGTTCTACGTTTAAAACGTACGTCGTTAATTCTATATTATTTTCATTGTTCACTTTTTTTTACTGTTAGTAGATAATTTATCAATGTAGAGAATTTATCTACATTGAGTCAAAAACGACGTCGTTTTGAGATGAAAATTAAGGTATTTTTGTAATTATAATTTATTTCAGGATTATAATAGTCATTTTCATTATAATTTTTTTTTAACTCAAAACGACGTCGTTTTGAAAGCGAATGTAGATAACTTATCTATAAACATTAAAGCCTATTTTCATTGGCAAAAATATTTATATTTTTATTGTAAAAAAAAAATTCAGTCACACTCGTATAAAAATGAGTACATTTTATTAATTTTTTTTTTTATAGTAGAACTCACTCATTTTTATATGAGTATAACCAAAAAAAAATTAACAAAAACAAAAATATTAAACTCATTTTCATGTGAAATTTATATGTACTTACCCTTTATCAATGGAATCATTTCTCACCGTCATGTCCAAACTTTACTTTAGCTCAGCTCAATTGTTGTTTGGTGGATTTCATTTGTCATTTTCAAAATTTTGAACCAAAGGGCTGCTCATTTATTGATGCTCTTATTAGTGCAAAGAATAAATCTAATCCAAAATTTTAAGATGTTAGGTGAGGGTCTTTGTTACACTCAAGCCCAAGCGTAAGTCCAAGCGGCCCCAATACCTGGACCAGTATGTTACCTGAGGCAGTCCAATTAGGAATCCAATAAAGGGTAGCCATCATGGGTAGTAGTTATATGTAATAGGAGTCGTTCCTTTGGTTTGTTTTATGCATTATTAATTAGTGTATTTTTAATTCTGCAAATTCTCAATTGATGTTTAAATAGTAATGAAAGAAAGTAAGAAAAGCATCTGATTCAGTTGCAACAACTTCTCTCTCTTCCAAATTTCTCTCTCTCTCTCTCAACTTCTCTCTTATATGAACTTTCTCCCTAACATTTGGTGCTTTCATTGCACTCTTACCTCTCGTCCAAATGGCTGAAAATACACGTCTTAAGGACGTTTCTAATAGGGTTGATTCCCTGCAACACGACCTCAATCATCGAATTGATTCACTACATCAACGCTTTGATGCTGCAGAATTATTACGTGAACGTCAATTCTTGAATCTTCAAGAATTACAAACAAATTTACATGAATCCAATGCACTGTTACATCAGGATTTGTCACGCCTCATTACACTTCAACAACAACATTCCCCATCAAACAACAATATTGCTGGTCCGAGTATTCTGGGTGCTGGACCCAATCACAACACCAGTCATGCTGGATCTGACCCTACCAGAGCTCGCACAGTCAAGCTTGATTTCCCCAAATTTTCGTCTGGTGATCCTACTTCCTGGATTACTGCAGCGGTCAGGTACTTTCGTTTTTACAGCATTCCTCCTCAGGAACGTGTCCTCTTAGCTGCCATTAATTTGTTCGATCCTGCTGCTTGTTGGTTTAATGGTTCATTTCAAGATACTTGTTTACCGGATTGGGATGCTTTCTGTGTGGCCTTGCAATTTCGTTTTGGCCCGTCTGAGTTTGAAGATCCAGCAGGGGCATTAGTTAAAATCCAGCAGTCTGGTTCGGTTACTGAATACCAAGCCACATTTGAAAAATTGGTGAGCAAGGTCCCTGCAGTCTCTACTCCCATGCTACGGAGCATTTTCATTTCGGGTCTCAAACCGAGAATCAAACGTTTAGTGCTCACCCACAGACCTCAAGACTTTCATGAAGCCTATGCTTTGGCTAGAGTGTATGAAGACCATGTCAATGATGAGAAACCTACACGACCATGGTACCCACCCAACCGTGTGTCCATCCCAAACACAGCCCCATTACAACCTATTACTCCCACTTCTCAACCCCATTCAAACCCTGCAAAACTGTTACCAGCTATCCCTATTCGTCGGCTTTCTCAAGCTGAAAGACAAGAAAGGAGAGACAAGAACTTATGTTACAATTGTGATGAAAAATTTGTCATGGGTCACAAATGCAAAGGGAGAGCAACATTACTTTACCTGGAAGGACTGGATGATGATCCTGATCCTCCGACTGCTATGCCAATCGAAGAGCCTCCATCTGAAGCTGAAGTGCTTCCTGAGATCAGTTTTAATGCCTTATTTGGCACTCACTCATCTCGCTTACATGGTTCTGTTGCAGGTCATGGAGTACAGATACTAATAGATGGGGGAAGTACCCACAATTTTATCACTCCAAGGATGTCTCAATTTCTTCACTTGTTGCTGCTGTCAACTACTCCTTTTAAGGTGCAAGTGGGTAATGGTGACACCCTCATCTGCTCTGTAGTGTGTCAGAATATTTCTCTAGTGATCCAATCTCATCCCTTCAATGTTGATTTATTTGTATTGGAACTAAAAGGGGCGGACATTGTTCTTGGCGTCCAATGGTTGTCTACCTTGGGTCCTATCCTCACTGACTATAAAGCTCTCACCATGTCTTTTGATTTTCAAGGTTCCAAAGTATCACTCCAAGGGGAACATTTACTGCAGGCCCAACCTCTTTCCACAGCCCAGTTGCATAAATTGCTGTCCCAAGATTCGGTGGATTCTTACTTAATGTGTCTCACTACTCAAGCTTCGGATATTACAGATTCTGACCCCACTTCACAGTCCCCTGAAGTCCTACAGCTCTTGGATTCTTTCCAGGATGTCTTTACTCAGCCCACTTCTCTTCCACCGACCAGACACATTGATCACCGCATTCTACTTCAACCAGATTCAAAGTCAGTGCAAGTCCGACCTTACCGCTACCCCCACTTCCAAAAGAATGAGATTGAGAAATTGGTTAATGAGATGCTGCACCTTGGTCAAATTCGTCACAGCCAGTCTCCTTTCAGCTCTCTCGTATTATTGGTGAAGAAAAAAGATGGTACTTGGAGATTCTGTGTTGATTACAGAGCCCTCAATGCCATCACCATTCGAGATAAATTTCCTATACCCACCATTGACGAGTTACTGGATGAATTGCATGGTGCCACCATCTTCTCGAAGTTGGACCTCCGTTCTGGATATCACCAGATTCGCATGGCACCCGAGGACATCCACAAAACTGCATTTCGTACCCATCATGGCCACTACGAGTTCCTCGTCATGCCATTTGGTCTTTCGAATGCTCCCTCTACTTTTCAAGCGACTATGAATGAGGTTTTTTCTACCTTTCTTCGTCGTTTTGTAGTGATTTTCTTTGATGACATTTTAATCTACAGCTCCACTTTTCATGACCATCTTGACCACTTACATGCTGTTTTATCAACTTTGAGAAGACACTCTTTATATGCCAAATTGTCCAAATGTCACTTTGAGCAACAGACAATTCACTTTTTTGGGCCACTTGATTTCTGCGAATGATGTGTCTCCTGACCCACAGAAACTCCACGCAGTGGCAGCATGGCCACTTCCCACTTTCGTGACTCAAGTACGTGCCTTCCTAGGCCTGTCTGGATATTACAGACGATTCATAAAACATTATGCAGCCATTGCCAGTCCATTAACGGATCTTCTCACTAAGGATGGCTTCAACTGGTCACAGGAGGCAGAAGATGCTTTTAATGAATTAAAAAAATTGTTAACTGCAGCCCCAGTTTTATCCCTACCTAATTTTCAGGAACAATTCACAATTGAAGCTGACGCATCCGGCAGGGGCATAGGGGCTGTTTTACTGCAAAACACCACCCAATCGCCTTTTATAACAGGAAACTCTCATCTACGATGCGTGGCAAGTCCACATACATTCGTGAGATGTTTGCTATCACCTCGGCTGTGGCCAAATGGCGGCAATATTTGTTGGGCGTCCCTTTCACCATCTATACTGATCATAAAAGTCTACACAACCTCATGAATCAGGTTGTTCAGACACCGGAACAGCAGCAGTTCCTTTCAAAATTATTAGGCTTCAACTATACCATCCTCCACAAGTCTGGCACAGCTAACAAAGCAGCAGATGCTCTGTCCCGACATCCAGATATCACTCCAACAGAGGAATTTCCTTTACTGGCAGCATTCACTGGTCCCTTAAGTGATTACAAATCAGTGTTACAGGCTGAGTTACAAACGGATCCTCATGCTTCGGCACTTATGCAGACCATCCGCTCTAACCCTTCTTCTCATCCTCAGTGGCGTATTAAAGATCAGCTACTATTCCATAAACACCGGTTTTTCCTACCCGCCAGTTCTGTGCTCATTCATCACCTACTTCAAGACCTGCATTCATCAGTACAAGGTGGTCATTCAGGAATCAGGGGAACTTTGTTAAGGATCAGTCAAAATTTCACTTGGAAATAAATTAAGGAGGATGTCACCGATTTTGTTACCAATTGTGAGATATGCCAGAAGATCAAACCTCCAAATCACTCCCCTTTTGGTTTATTACAGCCAATAGCTCCTCCGGAGGAAACATGGACAGACCTTGCTATGGACTTTATCACACACCTACCCCTCTCTTCTGGGTTCACGGTAATTCTAGTGGTCGTTGACCGTTTTTCTAAAAGGGCACATTTTTCCCCATTACCGACCCAGTACACAGCAAGCAAAGTGGCACTTGTTTTTTGGCATAATGTGGGTAAGCTCCACGGCATGCCACATTCGATCATCTCTGACCGCGATCCTCTATTTTTGAGCAATTTCTGGCGAACTCTGTTTCAGCTACAAGGAACAAGTTTGAAATTTAGTTCCTCTTATCACCCTCAAACAGATGGCATAACGGAACGTTTAAACACAAGTCTACAACTTTACCTTCGTGCGTTTGCACATGACTTCCCATCTGCATGGTCGAGGCATCTTCCATGGGCTGAATACCATTATAATACATCCACCCATAGCTCTACGGGCATGTCACCTTACCAGATAATTTTTGGTAAGCCTCCACCGAATATGTTGGCCTATACTTTGGGGTCGTGTGCAAATGAAGCGGTTGATGCAGAACTCACTTCGCGGACCACCATTCTCTCCCAAGTAAAGGCAAACCTGATCCGCGCTCAACAACATATGAAGGCCATCGCTGATAAAAGCCGCAAAGATCACACCTTTACGGTCGGTGATAAAGTTTTGTTGCGTCTTCAACCCTATCGCCAGATATTCGTGCAAAGACGCTCCTCCCACAAGCTCAGTCTTCGCTATTATGGACCATTCGTTGTCCTGGAAAGGATTGGTCCCGTTGCGTACCGCCTTGATCTGCCACCAGACTCACGGATTCACCCCATTTTCCATGTTGCCTTGTTGCGCCCATTCAAGTCCCACTAAGACCATCAAGTTCATCCCTTTCCCTCCGCTACAGATTTCCCCCAATCCATACTCCACGTGCAGTGGTTGATTCACGAACAATTTGGCGCAACAATCGCCAAACCCCACAAGTCCTCATTCAATGGGAGGGTCTTCCCCCTGAAGACTCCACCTGGGAGGATGAATCTATGATTCGTGAAGAGTGCTTGGCCATTCCAGGCCTTTCTGTTTCACATGGTACATAGCAACCAATGGCTCTATCTACTCTGTCGGACCCCGTACATGCACAGCCATCTTCCACCGTTCTTTTGTCGCCGAACTCTTGCAATCGAACGGCTGAAACAAGTGACACTTTACAGCGCCTCGAGGACGTGGCGAATTTTCAACCACAGGGGGATGTTACACTCAAGCCCAAGCGGCCCCAATACCTGGACCAGTATGTTACCTGAGGCAGTCCAATTAGGAATCCAATAAATGGTAGCCATCGTGGGTAGTAGTTATATGTAATAGGAGTCCTTACTTTGGTTTGTTTTCTGCATTATTAATTAGTGTATTTTTAATTCTGCAAATTCTCAATTGATGTTTAAATAGTAATGAAAGAAAGTAAGAAAAGCATCTGATTCAGTTGCAACAACTTCTCTCTCTTCCAAATTTCTCTCTCTCCCTCTCAACTTCTCTCTTATCTGAACTTTCTCCCTAACAGTCTTTTTAATGATTTATATTATTATCTAACATACTTCTTCATGTAAGATCCCTTTGAGTTTGAAACGTGGATATTACATAGGTCTAATTTTTATTTTTATTTTGGTTTTACCTTATATTTGTTTTATTTTTATTTTTTGGTAAACACTTTATACTTATTTAATTCCACAAGTGAGAAGCGGTGAGGAACGAACTTGTGACCTTATGCTACTGAAGTTCTAATATTATGTAAAGAATCAATTTAACCCAAAACCTTTTTTTTGTATATCTAAACACTAATTTAACCTAAAACCTTAAAGTGTTGGATAAAAGTCTTTTTAATGATTTATATTATTTTCTAACAAGAACTTTCATGCTAGCAATAAATTTTGTTGTCAACATACAAAATTAACTCTATTAATCTGAAACTTTTAAAAAACATAATAAACTTGAATATCTTCGGCTGAAACGACATACAGTGATTAAAAGCCCCAAATAGCCGAAGGCTAATGGAAGTTTTTTTAAATGGATAAAATTTTCTTGTAATATGTCTTGAAAAATATTTTTCATTTGCCCCAAGAAATTATTATTTTTATATTAAGTGTGGTGGATACTTATCTGCCACTCTAATATTGAAGAAAACATATGGTCTTTTACGTAGTTGTTTAATCAGAATGAATTCATGCAGCTGCAAAGCAGTGGTGGAGCCAGCAATTGATACGAGGGGGGTGAAAAGAAAAGTGGTTAAGAGAACATACATTTTCCACATCAACAAGAGCTTCAAGCCTCTCCAAGTGTGGCAACTCACTGAATGTAGCCTTAATCACTACATATAACAACAATAAATAAGAACAAGAGTAGCGGAAACGAGGAAAGAAGCCTTAGAGAGCATGAAAGAGAAAAAAAAAAAATTTAAAGGGTGCAACAGTTGAAATCGGATAACATTATGATCTACATAAATTAAAAGAGTTACATATCAAAGCTATTTTAGGGGGGTTACTTGAAAGCATTATGGTGTGCATTCTGAGGTAATCGTTTCACGAAAATTGTTGAAATAAGTATTATATCTATTTGTTTTTCTTGCATTTCTGTGATATTCCCATTTTTGTGACTGCACAAGCGAAATTATCTCAAATATGCTTTCACCAAATGCTAAGATGGATGACACAGTAATACCAAGAATACATGGGAATATTAGCATTGTGAGTATCAATAGCCTGGGAGTTGTCCATTTCAAATTTTTTGAGTAACTCCTTACAATATTTAGCTTGATTGATGAATATTTCATCCTTTTATTGCTTTATTTGGAGACCAAGGAAGAAGTTTAGCTCTCCCATCATAGACATCTCAAATTCGCTTTGCATAAGATTGGCAAATTCTTCACAAAGATTAACGTTAGTGGCACCAAAAATAATATCATCAACATAGATTTGTGCAAATAATAGATGATCATTTTTCTTCTTTATAAAGAGAGTTGTGTCAACTTTTACTCTTGAAAAACCTTTTTCTAAAAGAAATTTGCTTAATCTTTCATACCAAGCTCTTGGAACTTGTTTCAAACCATATAAAGCCTTTTTGAGTTTAAAAACATGGTTATGTGAATCATGATCTTCAAAATCGAGAGGTTGATCAACATATGCTTCTTCTTAATGTATCCATTTAGAAATGCACTTTTAACATCCATTTGAAAAAGTTTGAAATTCATTATACATGCAAATGCAAGTAATAATCTAATAGCTTCTAATCTAGCAATGGGAGCATAAGTTTCATCATAATCAATACCTTCCTCTTGATTATATCCTTTAGCAACAAGTCTAGCTTTATTTCTAGTTATTATACCATTTTCATCAAGCTTGTTCCTAAAGACCCATTTTGTTTCAATTATTGGATAATCATTTGATTTTGGCACAAGTTCCCAAACTTGATTTTTTTCAAATTGATTTAGTTCTTCTTGCATTGCTAATAACCATTGTTCATCAATAATTGCTTCATCTATGGTCTTAGGCTCAATTTGAGAGACAAATGCTAAGTGATTACAAATATGTCTAATTGAGTTTCTAGTTATAATACCCCTAACTTAAATAATTTAATTAATTACTTTAAATTAAGTAATTAAGCATGTATTAGTGAGTAAAATTAAGTATAGGGCCTAATTAAGTGAGTTGGGGTCATTTTTGAGGTAAAAAGTGTACTCAGTGAAAATTAAGGGGTATAAATAGATGTAGGCAAAAGTATCCAAAATATAAAAAGAAAATGAAAATTTACCCGGGTTTTTAATTGAACCGATGTGATTGTAACTGCGCTTAATATCATGAAGCAATGTTAACAAACCGGTTCTAGAACGGAGTGTTACATTTTATGGTATCAGAGCAGTTTTGTAGGGAAACATGTGGATTATGGTTATATCTGTGTGGTGTTTGATGTTTTGTAGTTGTTTTGGTACTCTTTAT